TGGTGGCTCACAACCATCTGTAATGGGGTCTGGTGCCCTCTTCTGGCCTGCAGACACACACACAGACAGAATATTGTATACATAATAAATAAATATTTAAAAAAATAGTTTTTTATATCAGGAGATTGAGGGCAAAAATGGGAATGAGGAATTAATCATCGCCTTAGCTTATTAACCAGACCTAGCAAGGGAGCTAGCCACAATCAGGCCATTTTGTATCCTCGACTCTAGCCTGGTAAGTCAGACAGTTCAGCTGTGCGTCCTTGTGAACCTTAGCTAGTTTTCTGGGGTTATTTCTGTGAAAATTATTAGCAAGGCCTCTGGTCTAACCTAACGTTATCAGGAAGCTTTGTCTTAGTGCCATGTGACTGCCTCTTTCCAGCCTGGCTCGTGGACTCAGGTGCTTTCCATTTAAACATTAACCTGAGCAGCTCCGAATGTGGAACTCATAGTCCTTAGCTGGGAAACATACCCTTGCATTTATTTTTTCTTTCTTTTATTGTATCCATCAAAGTTCTCATTATTATTCTTCTCACAGTAGACAGTACCGCTTAGGGAGGGGTCATCCATCTTCTTAACAACCCACAGGTAAAAATGTCCAGTAGAAGGCGATGTTTCCAAGAGATAAACACAAGGTTTTACAGGCAGCGGAGATCTCTCCACATCTACGCACACCATGATAGATACCAGAGAGAGATAGAGCCACAGCAAGCTTGTAAAGGCACAGCAGAAGCAAAAGTCCTTTCAGGGTCTGCAGTCCCGTGGCCTTGGCTAGCCAAGACTGGCCCATCAGAGAGTTCCTTCCGGAGGGCTGACACCTGAATCTTGGATTGCCACTCAGTGGTCCTCTGGCACAGCCAAAGGCGCTGGCCCCGGTCAGATCAAGTCATGGAGCTGTGCAAGGAAGCAGCGCTGCCTGCAATAGAATCAGAAGGAAGTGAACGTCCTGCCCTGGTGTGCTTGCTGGCCTGCTTTGGTGTCCTGGGATGTACCCTTTTTACAAAAGTAAATTTTTTTGCTGGGTTACTTTCACTTTCTGTTTTCTGTGGGGGGGGGGGGGTCGCCACCACATGAGGAACCACGTTAAAGTGTCACAGTCTTGGGAGGGTTGAGAACTGCTGGCTCTATTAACCATCCGTGAGAACAGGTGAGATGGTGCAGCGGCTTATAAGTGCTCGCTGCCTAGCCTGACTTTCTGAGTTTATGCATATGGTGGAAGGCAAGTGTCCTTTGACCTCCATTTGTGAGCCACAGCCCAAATATGCATGGAAATAAGATGCTTTTTAGAAGCCGTCCCATGATCCCATAGGACGGGGTAGGAATGTGGCCAAGCTTTGTTTCCTAACAAATCAACCTATCATTTTGTCCAATCAGAACGTCAAGTGGGGGGGGGGGGAACTAGGGAGGTGACCTAAGGGTCTGACAACACTGGGGGCTCTTTCAGGGGACCTGGTTTCCATTCAGTAGTTGGTAATCTCAGTTCCACGCGTCTGACACCTTCTTCTAGCCTGCACGGACATTGTGCATGTGCACACACACATTTAAATAAGTAGAGAAACTTTTTTTTTTTTATTCAACACAGGGTTTCTCTGTGCTACATCAGTACACCAACTCCATAATAGCAGGTAAGGTTACCTGTTCAGAAAGGGAGCAGAGAAGAAGGCAGGAGTTAAATTGGAGTTTAGCACAAAAAGATCCCCCAAAAAAGCAACCAGTTTTCCTCTTGAGTGAAAGCCAGATGCCATTAGCATCTGCATCCTTACCAAGGGCCCAGAGATGCCAAAAGTGTTTGGGGCGTCTGATTCTTTTTTTATTATTTGATGATTTATTTTTACTTCATGTGCATTGATGGTTTGCTTGCATGTGTGTCCGTGTGAGGCTGTCAGATCCCCTGGAGGTAGAGTTATAGGCAGTGTGTAAGATGCTATGTGAGTGCTGGGAATTGAACTTGAGTCCTCTAGAAGACCAATTGGTGTGCTTAACTGCCAAGCCATCTCTCCAGTCCCTCTGATCTGGTTCTTAAATGTTTCTAGGGTTTATGTTGCTAACATTTCTTCTTGGGAGGAGAGGTTAGCTCTGTCTACTTCTAAGGTCCCTGAGAAACCAAGGCACAGATCAATCCAAGTTCAGTATTTATCGGACTTCCTTACACAGCATCTGTGAGGGTTTACTTACTGGGGTGTGGGCCTCCTTCCTTATGAGCCACATTTGAAAAGCCTTACCCTGTAGGAAGAAGGGCTCCCATACCCACATAGATGAAGCCCCTCCCCCCTGCCAACCCAACAGCCCAGCCCCTCTTGTGAGAAACTGAGGAAGCCCCATGTGGCTGTGTAAATAGCAGACAAGGTCCTGAGGAAACGCGCAGGTGTGCACTGTCAAATCAAGGACCAGTGCCTCAGGCCCACAGGGCTTGGCAGTCTTCTGTGGGGTGAGGCTCAGAGGGACTTCAAGGCCTTCCTCTAGAGTGTGAATGTGGGCCGTGTGTGCAAACGCGAATACTTAGGAAGGACTGATTAGTGCGTGCGAAGTACTAGCGGAAAATGCAGCCTCCTTCTCCCAGACGTTACAGCCTGGGGCTGGTCAACTACAGACAGGAGATTAGCTCCTGCTTCCTGCTGTTCTTGGAGGTTCTGGGTTGTTTCTGTACGAGATGCCATTTCACAGAGTGACCTTGGCCCACCAGACTCCAGCTTTTCAGGACACACTCGTCTATCCATTCTTCCTTCCCTGTTTGCTGCAAGTCAGGCCAAGTCTCAGCTGAGCTGGCAGCTGTGCCCTCTAGTGTGTGTGTGTGTGTGTGTGTGTCAGGTCAAGTCTCAGCTGAGCTGGAGGCTGTGCCCTCTGTTCTTTGCTTGTATGTTTGTTTGTGTGTGTGTTTTGTGCATGTGTGCAATGGTGTATGAGTATGTGTGCACGTGTGTGTGTCTTCTTCCAGGCCATGTGCAAGGTTTCCAGATAGTAGAGAGGAGTTGGATACTTAGGGGCGGGGTGTAAACTCTCATCAAACCATCTGAGGTTCTGTTTAGCAAGGGGGAAGCACACTGCCTGCTCAAAGATGGCAGTTGCTTGGCTCAGAGGCCAGTCACAGTAGTTTAGTTCTTTAGAGGAGGAGATGTTAAAGTAGTAGGCAGGTAAGGCTTGTTAAGAGAAAACTCTTTCTGCTCTACGGAATAGAATCTCTTGCCTGGGTGGGGACCCAACATTCCAGCTGGGCCTGGCCAATTGACAAGAGCCTTGGGGCGGGGGAACCAACCATCCAACCAAATAAAAACAGAGAGAGAGAGGATAATGAAAAATTTCTTGTCTTAGGGCCCTTTTCCAGAGGCTCAATAAAACACTCTTACCAAATGATTACAGTAACTTATCATAATACTATTATTTTTGTTTATGCAACTTTAAAAACTGCATATGCTGGCCAGGTTTAAAGAAAAAAATGTATAATGGGGAATTGTGAGTTGGTTTTTTTGTTTTGTTTTGTTTTGTTTTTTTCCTGTCAAAAGTTTGTTAGCTTGCTAAACATACCCACTTACCGATAGTTTTTTTATATCAGGAGATTGAGAGCAAAAATGGTTTTAAGGAATTAATCATCGTGTTTGGTTATTAACCAGACCTAGCAACAATCAGGCTGCTTTGTATCTTTGACCCTAGCTAGCCTAATAAGTCAGACAGCTCAATGGGTTAATAATGGGCTACATAAGTTATAAGAGTTAATAAGAGGCCTGAGCTAATGGGCCAATCAGTTTGTAACTAATGTAGACCTCTGTGTGATTTCTTTGGGACTTAACAACTGTGGGAACCGGGCAGGATAGAAACCCCAGAAAACCTCAGACAACAAATGGTGCCCCAAATCTATTTACACCATGCTATAACATAACAGAATATAGCATGAATGATAAAAAGCAGACACAGATATTAGGATTAAACCAGAAGATCAGAAATGCAAAGCAGCCAGCCATTGGCTCTTACCTCTACCTCAGACCAAAATGGCCATCCTGCCTCCACGAATTCTCAGAATGAAACTGAGCCTGAGACCTGTCTCCTCCTTTTTATCTTCCTCTAGTGCTGGGATTAAAGGCATTACCACTACCACCTGGTTTTTTTTTTTTTTTTTTTTATAGCAACTAGTGTGGCTAGTGGGATTAAAGGTGTGTGTCACCAGACTGCCTGGTCTGTGAGGCTGACCAGTGTGGCTGTTTTACTCTCTGACCTTCAGGCAAGCTTTATTTATTAAAATACAAATGAAATATCACTACACTTCCCCTTGTTGTCTAAAATAAAAAAGGCTATAACTGATATAAGAAAAACTTTATATACTAAGTACAATACCATATGCAATATATACAGGCAGTAAATACATCAACAATGTCTAGTCCCTTTGCCTTTGACAAATTCAGGGAAAATACTCCATATCCATTCTCTCTTGGCAAGCTCAAAGTCTTGTGCCTAATTTACTTCCTATCATAACTTGCACTGCTATTTAAAACTATCTTTTGATATCTCTCAATCTTATATACTTTATATTTCTTTCCTGAGTCTTGTAAACAGTGAAAGATATAACTGTCTAGTCTTTAACTATCTCGGAGACCCAACGAAGAAATAATATTAACTGAGTAAGTATGAAGTGTAAGCAAGGGTCTTCAAAAAAATGTGAGAAATGACAGAAACAGATGGCTGTCTGGACAGTCACCCAATGTTCCTCTACAATGTTAGGGCATCCATCTTTGGCCTACAGGCCTAGAATATCTGACAGACTTTTCTATGAGGCAGAGTTTTTGAAGGACTGTACCTGCCTTGTCTCGGCAAGGTTTGGCAGTCACTGTCTTCTGTGTCCTTCTTGTCCCATTAGGACAGCATATTGTCACGAGTTGAGGAAAGGGCATTTTGTTGCCCAGTGGCTTACTTTTGCCATGAAGAAAGTAAACTCCCTGTGGCGTTTCTTCAATGCTCATCATCTTCTCTGGAGTAGGTTGGTGCTGCTGGGAGCAGACATGCTTCATTGTCATAAAAAAAAAGAAAAAATAACCTATGCTATAAAAACATCTTAAATGCTATATTCTGTAGATCTCTGAAGTGTTTGAAGATGACCTGTCTATCTAAAATATATCTTTATTTGACCTAGAAAACATACCTAATGTGATTATAAGTTTGTTTATAACAGGTGATTAACTACTATCCTGTATTTCCCTATTATCCTAAGCAGTTGGTAATAATAATTTTCAAGGACCATAAATTTGTATTACATTGGTAAATGTATATAAATTTATAAGTTTATAAGCTATATAAACTTTTATAAGTTATATAAACTTATATAAATTTATAAGTTATAAGAGTTAATAAGAAGCCAGAGCTAATGGGCCAATCATTTATATTGTAAATTTATATTTACATTATATCATAAATGTAAATTGTATAGGTAAAATACCTTGAAAAAGAGTGGAAATGTAGTGGAAATGTTCTGACAAAATTAATCTCAAATTTGTATTAATATACAAAATTTGTATGCAATATACAAAAATCCAATCCAATGTAAAACTTTTAAAGCTAGTAGTAGCTTTTTAAAAGTAGATTTGATAATCTACCTTTTTATTTTATCATATATATATATATATCTTCACTTTTTTCTTCTCAAAACAAGAACCTTGAATCTAACTACCTTTTTTTAGCTTTTTTCCTGACCATTACCAGTAACAACTTGTCCACCTAAACAATGACAAATGTCGATAACTTATTGAATGACCAAAAATCATCCACCCCACCTCTTTGGAATGTGGCATCATATTCTTAAAATTACTTCCTATTGCCTGAGGGTGACAGCACCTTTAAGAGATTCTGAAAAGAAAAATTGGGGTTCATTTACAAGTCCTGGGAGAGGTAGCTGTATCATTTGTGGTCCAGTCTCTACATAATGTAAAACTGTAGGGCTTGTCTCGGATCCTGGCTAGTGTAGTCTGTTAGGCTGGATCATCTCAGCTAGCCACCTCGAGATTGTTCTGAGCAGTTTGTAGTCCAAAATCAATCTTTAGGTTGTGTTTTTCAGCTTAGTGGTGTTATCTCAGTCTTAGAGGGATCGTCATTGGGGGCCCCATCTTCCTTTTGGAGACTTCCAAGATCACCGTGAGGTGTGCTCATGGTTCACTGCAGAAAATGGAGAGAGACTCGAACCTGAAATCATGTACAGGGAGGGAGATGAAACCTTTTTCTAGAATTAGTTAGTACTCTATATGACTATTAATATCATGACAAAAATTAAAAATATATAAAATATAAATATATTTAAATATATATTAAAAATATAAAAAATATAAATTATAAATATATAAATCTTACCTTAAGAAAAGCTGCTAAAGAGTCAGTATATAACCAAAGGACTATGAGATTAGTAGCAATAAAATAGTCCTTAATTTTTTTTCTTCTTCTGTCCCATATCAGGTGGTTCTTCTGACATGAGACAGAGGTTTTAGCTTTCACTTAGTAAACATGCTTGGGTTTAGAGAAGGAGAGGACACACTCCAGCTACAAAGCCAGCTTCAATCTTTAATCAGACTGGGATGGCGATAGCAACAAGACCATTTGCATATATGTCTGTAGACAACAGTAGAAACAAACATTTGGGAAGATTTACGAAATTTTATCCTGTTGGAAATGTGATATACTAATAGGCCAATTTACTCTTTTTTTTTTTTTGAGACACTTTTTCTGGATGATTTGTCCTTTTTCTTCAGATGTCTCATTTGTCTGGTGGTGCTTAGATTCCTTAGCTGGATTCCTTTATTCTCCTGAAACTACAGAAACAAAACCCTTCTCCAACACTAATTTCGAGGAGATTCTCTTTTGGCAAGTTATAACTGATCAAATGAAAAGCATCTGTTAGTTTTATAAGTTAGTACAGATTAAATGGCCATGCTGTTTGATGAACTATCATCTCTTCTAATTAAGAGGTGGCTCTTCTTCAGATCAAATCTTTATCAAGTGAACTTCCTGCCCTGGTGTGCTTGCTGGCCTGGTTTAGGGTCCTGAAATGTACCCTTTATACAAAAGGAAATTTCTTTTGCTGGGTCACTGTCACTTTGTGCTTTTCTTTGTGTGACACAAAGATTATTTCCCCAACAAATTGATGGCTTATCTTAAGATTTCAAGTCCATTTAGGGGAGTGCTCAGACCTTCTCTCCCTGAGGAGAGATGTGTCCCATGGCTTTGTTGCATTGGCACACAGGGGCTCAGGTGATTGACACTCTTTTGAATTGGTATTGGTAATGATCCTAGGATAGGATTCACAAAGCAGAAAACACCAGGGTATCCAAGAAAAGTCCGTGTATAGATCTAGTTATGAAATGTATAATGGCCACTGCTCTATGGGGGGATTTTCTGGAGGTTGGATGAGGGTGGAGGTGTCTCTGTCTTGAAGTGAGGACAGGGTCTGGATCCAAAGCTCCATGGCTGTCCCTGGTGACTTCATACAGGCTTGCTTCTGGCTGTGCTGACTGGGGGACTGTACCAACGTGCCTGTTTCTTAAAAGCACTTAACAGGAGATGGAGAGATGGCTCAGCAGTTAAGAGCACTGACTGATCTTCCAGAGGACCTGGGTTCAATTACCAGCACCCACATGGCAGCTCACAACTGTCTGAAAATGCAGTTCCACAAGGTCTGACACCTTCACATCAATGCACATAAAAATGAAATTAAATAAATTGTTAAAAAATTATTTAAAAAAATTTAAAAAAAAAGCACTTAACCTAGGACCCCAACCTGAGAGGGGGTCAGCCAGAGATGGACAAGGCGAAGCATTTGAGCTCGGAGTGCAAAGAACCACCCTAGAGGGAGTTGAACCCAATGAGAAAGAAACACATTCTCCATCTGAAAGCAGCACCCTGCTCCTTGGCACGCTCAGGACAGAGGGAAACAGTTGTACGACAGGCTGTTCAGCTCAAGAAAGCTGGAAAATGCTAGATTTTTTTGTTGTTTTTGCTTTTTGAGACAGGGTTTCTTTGTGTAGCTGTTGCTGTCCTGGAACCCACTCTGTAAACCGTAAGGCTGGCCTCGAACTCCCAGAATCACCTCTGTGCGATATCTCAAGGTTTTTCTGTTTACGCGTTTTATAGCCTCATCTGTGAAGGAAACTCACCCAGTGTTTGAGAGTGCTCTGACGTTTGACATTCTAAGGACAGAAGGAAATGATCTTTATATCAGATATTACCAACTCAACGATCTGTTTCCTAAGATGGACAGCGTGTTCTGTTCCCATATGTTTTTCTTCCTGTACTTCCTCGTCTTTGTTCTCCCTGATATTAATCAAGTAGAACATTTGATTTCCTTGTAAACATGGCTTAAGGATTATAGTGTCTTTGTATGTAGTTGCCCTTAATAAAAACACAGCCCAGGAGACACTCTGGAACCGCAGAGAGTCTCCCATGAGCTACCATGCTTGGCTTGGCTGGGTCCTAATGTTTGTTCCTTCAGCCCACAGTCTCCAAACTAGTTTCTTCCTCTCCCTCCCCCCTTTTGCTTTGTTTTTTTCGAGACAGGGTTTCTCATGTTACAGACCTGACTATCCTGGAACTCACTCTAGACCAGGTTGGCCTTGACTTTAGAAAGAGAGCTGCCATTCTGCCTCCCGAGTGCTGGGATTAAAGGCGTGCAGCACAACCCCCAACTTCTCTCCCCTTAAGACTCCTTTTGCTTGATGTTTGTAATCTGGTTCCTGTGGCCCACTCCTGACTTCCTTGCACCCTGAGTATCCTTGCTTTTGTTTTTCATTTCCAGTCAGAGTGACAAACACAGGCTACAGAGGAAGAACAGGCTGATGCCATCCCGTTCCATTTCTTGTAGCTGTCTCTCTCTCTCTAAAAAAAGACAAGGCCAGAAAAGTGGACAAGTTTTCAATAACCGTATCTGGAGGATTAAAAAATAATATTTTGCCTCTTCAAAGGTCAACTAGTTTCCAGAGGACTGAGACATGAAATAATGAAATGTCCTCTTCTCCAGGGAGGCAATAGAGATCCCGTGCAGAAGGTTCTAAACCAGTCGTGTCTACGGAGAAGAGGGCTGTGTTAGCCTTCCTGTTGCTGTGAGAAGACACCATGGCCAAAGCAATTGATGGGAGAAAGAGCAGATTTTGGTTTACGGTTCCTGGTGGTTCGAGTCCATGATAGCCGGGAAGCGTGGCAGTAATTGGCAGCTTGAGCAGCAAGCCGAGGGTTGGGCCCATCAGCTTTGCTGTGCTTGCTAGCTTGGTTTGGGTCAGGGTTTACCCCTTTTATGAAAACATATTGCCTTGTGGGAATACTTTCATTTTGTTTATGCGGGTTATTTATTTATTTATTCATTTATTTATTTATTTGGTTTTTCGAGACAGGGTTTCTCTGTGGTTTTGGAGCCTGTTCTGGAACTAGCTCTTGTAGACCAGGCTGGTCTCGAACTCACAGAGCTCCACCTGCCTCTGCCTCCCAAGTGTTGGGATTAAAGGTGTGCGCCACCACCGCCCGGCTTGGGTGTGTGTGTGTGTGTGTGTGTGTGTGTGAGAGAGAGAGAGAGAGAAAGAGAGAGATCGATCTATTTCCTCTTCCTTCTGCTCCTCCTCCTCATCTTCTCCTCCTCCTCCTGCTCCTCCTCCTTCTCTCCTTCTCCTTCTTCTTCTAACTCAGAGATCCGCCTGCCCGAGCTTCTGAGCTCTGGGATGAAAGTTAGGCGCTGCCACACCCAGTTTTGAGATTATTGTTTTTTCCCATCAATTGGAGTCAGGCTAGGCAACATAGTTGGAACCTACGTTGGGTTCCTTAGAAATTGCGAAGCCGGGCTGCAATTCACGAGACGGTGTCTTAAAATCAACTCAGAACGCCAACAGAAATGAACGAAAATTGTGCCCTCCTTACTCTCTCACCCGGTATACACCATGCACTGCACACTCAGATGCACTCCCCGACCGAACCGAACAAGCTCACCGCGATCCGCGAACGTGAGCGAGCGAAACCCTTCAGGCAGCCCCACGGTCCCTAACCTTTCCCGGCCCGGTAACCAACTAAAGACACGCCCCCTTCCCGCACGCCACGCCCCCGCGCGCGAGCAATTCTGTCCCTGCCGCGCTGCCGTCGCGCGCGGGGGGGGGGGGTGTGTGTGTCATAGGTCACGGCGGCGTTTGTGGTGACGTGGTTTTCTGCTCTCACCCGGAAAGGCCGGCGTTCGCGGCGGGCGCGCGGAGCCGGCGTCTCCTCGGCGCGCTCTGGCCTGTCTCCGGCTCGTCCCGTTGGCCCCGGGGAGCCACTCGCTGTCTCCGGAGCGGCGGGGAGGATGGTGCGGGGCAGCCCGGGTCCCGCCGCGCGCCGCCGCGAGTGACCGGGGCCAGGCCGCGGGCGTCCGCGGAGCCGCCGCTGTGTGGGGCGGTGAGTAGGGGACACGGTCGGGGTCGGCATAGCGGGCGCTGGGGCCGGGACCCCGGGCGGTCGGTGCGCGGCGGTGCGCGGCGGTGCGCGGCGGTGCGCGGGCTCTTCCGCCCGCTTCATCCTCCCGAGGCCTGAGGCCTGCAGAGTCCTGGCTCCTGGAGCCAAGGCTTGTGATCGTCGGGATACGGCCGAGTGGACGTGCTCTGCAATTTTTAGGAAAGAAGAAAAAAAAAAAGATTCGGTTTTGGAAAATTGAGAAACGTTGCGTTTGTGTCTGTTTGTGCACGTGAGTGCAAGTACCTTCAGAATCCAGAAGAGGGCGTTGTGTTCCTAGAACTGGAGGTAGAGGCCATTGTTAGCTGCTTGATGTTGTGGGGGTTGAGAACCTGACTCCGGCCCCCTGGGGTAGCAGGTGTTCTTAACTCTCGCGACCCTCTCTCCACTCTCCATTTGTCTGTGTGTGTGTGTGTGTGTGTGTGTGTGTGTGTGTGTGAGAGAGAGAGAGAGAGAGAGAGAGAGAGAGAGAGAGAGAGAGAGAG